GTTGCCAGTTCAAATCTCAGATTTGCTAACTTTGCTGACTAATATCATTCCCAGATCTCACCATCCCCTACAACCCCCACACCCGAAATATTAGGATAATAAAAGTGAGGACTCTTTTTTATAAAGAAAATATGCAAGTTAAAATTACCTGACAGGATGGAAATTTAAGCACTGTCAAAAAAGAGGAATAAAGATCATGCAAATTTGCATGAATGTTGCATATGCATATATAGGAGTTTTCCTCCTAAGCCAAAAAAGATATTCACTGTCTGGAAATAGAAAACCCACTTCCGAATGCTGGGAGATTAGACGCACAAGGCCACACAATATTAAGACGCCATCCTGCATCTGCCTTCATAAATGAGGACACTGGTTGTTAGCACAACCCAAAAATTAGATTCGGAAGGGTGGCCCAGGGTCAAGCAGGCGGAAGCAGCTGGCCAGGCAAAAAGCTGTTATAAACACACCAACATGCTGGAGATGCCTTCCCTTATAGATTTTTTTAAAGAACCAAAGAGGACAGGCAAGGCCAGATAAGTGATTAACACAGCATGTTGGGATTTAAAAGAGCGGATGGATGTAAGTCAGGCTGCAGAGTCATTTTGAATCTACCTATGAGAACACTAAGCAATATATCTGAGTGTGGGTATAAAGCCAACAATCTGGATTTTCCAGCATTTAGCTAATACAGGTATTATCTAACCTGTGATAAAGCAGTAAAACAAATTATGAATATATGACACAGTACCATGACTCAAATGGTATTGCAAGGGGCATTGATCTGTTTAAATCTGGCCTCAAGTCACGGTCCACTTAACATACACTTATGGAATATTAATGATGTGAATTATGGAGAACAGGAATTTTTCATATATAGCCAGATACACAGGAAGAGATGAATGCTAATACTTGTCTTCCCAAAACCTTCACATCTACCCTGCCTCAGGATTCAAGAAATGGACATCAAATGCCTCATCTATTGCACTTCAACTAGCATGGGTGGTGGCAGGATGAAGTACTCCACAGAACTAAAAAAAGGAAAGTCTGTGCTGCAAAATATAATTCCTGGGACAATCTCCCATGTTTTCTTCGCCGTAATCTCTTGACTGTATAAGAATTGTGAGCTCCTGAGTTGTATTGCTCCCCCAACAATAGACAGCAGTGTTTCCCACACAGGAAAAAAAAAGAGTAGGTGGGCAAACTCAAGTACAGGTAAGTTTTGGGAGCAAACATTTCACATCTGATGCTCCCTTAAAAACACTTGGCACCCCCAACAATAATTTAAAATTAATTGTATTTCCATAGGAGCAGAGATTATAAGCATAGTATAGTGTAAGGATGGCCATTAGAGGGCATGAGGGTACTTTTCCAATTACAAAACATTTTTGTAAATTCTTTTTTGTTGTTGTTGTCATGGTGGTCATGGGAAAGTGTGCAGCCTTCGAGAGTCCAGAGACAGGGTTGTGTAACACTGGGTTCCTTCTGAAGGTCATCACCCTTACCCTATACTGTGCTTATAATCTCTGCTCCCATGGAAATACGTATATGACCTCCCTTGTTTCTTGTCTTTCTTCCTCTGCCTCTCTACATCTGCCCTATGAGGTTTTAATCTTTATGCACACAAAATACTGTATACTATTGCAATGCCTTTTCTTCTGTGTTCTGTTCTGCAGTCAGAAGGATGATTATAAACAGTTTTATTATATCCTGATTAGTAACATAATGGGATACGGCCCATCCCACCAGTGTGGAGAGATTAATGGAGGGCTATGATCGGCTATACATTAGCCCCTGCTGTGGAGGATATTGTGGTACTGCCCTGCCTGAAACCTTACATTCTTTAAACTAACTAAACAGACTTTAATACTAGACAGACTAAAATAATTTAAATAAATACAGATATCTGTTTGTGTACTCAGGGGGATACCATGGAGGCATCTCTCCTTTACCGTGAGAGGATTGTCTCCTGCCATGGCCACCTTTCATGAGCCTCTTGTGTTGGCCTGGAACTGATGAATGGTAGTGGTTTTGCCATGGATGTCCAAGGCGTGGCTGTTAGTGTTGTTCTATAGCTATGCTGCATATTTAAGAGTCATGTTTCCTCTCCCCAGCATCTGTGCTAGATAACAGGATAAGAGATGCTCTCTATATCGATTCAATTTAAGTAACCCTCGGAACCAAGAATCAAGTTGTGATGACAGATACATTCCTGCTGCCTGTAAACAACACTAGGAGGCTGAGGGATTGCATCACTGCTCAGGAATGGAGTAGCAACTGCTGGCTCACACAGTCTCATGCTTAGAACTCCAAGGCAGTTGCAGTGTGTGTGTGTTTTGGGGGGAGAGCAAGTTCCTGATAAATGCCAACTTCCACTCCACCCTAAGCTGACAACCTGAAATAATTTACAACCAATTTTTAAAAATAAGTCTCTATAAATATATCCACTCTCATTCTAGCACCCCCTTTATTTTTAAACCACAACCTGTCCTGGGAACCTGGAGATAAGTCACATCAAATTAACAATTCAATAAATCAGAGGTGAGAAATGCATGGCCCTTGAGATGTTGCTGAACACAGTTCCCATGACTGGTGATCACTGGCCCCGCTGGCCAGGTTTGATGGGAGTTGAAATCAAGCAATATTCGCAAGACCCCAAGCTTCCCACTAATACAATAAATCAGTAAAAGAAACATACAGTGGTGCTTTGCTAGACAGTTACCCCGCATGACAGGTTTTTTTGCTAGACATTGACTTTTTGAGATCGCTATAGGGATTCGCAAAACAGTGGTTCCTATGGCGGAATTTCGCTGGACAATGTTTGGTCCCTGCTTCGCAAACCGATTTTCGCTAGATGACGATTTTGATAGCTCCCTCCACGCTCACAAAACAGGTGTTCTCGGGACCTAAGCTTCGCAAGACAGCGATTTAAACAGCTGATCGGCAGTTCGCAAAGTGGCTTTCCTATGGCCGATCTTGGCTAGACAACGACGATTCTTCCTCATTGGAACGCATTAAACAGGTTTCAATGCATTCCAATGGGGAAATGCTTTTCGCTAGACAATGATTTTGCTAAACAGCGATTTCGGTGGAACGGATTATCATCATCTAGCGAGACACCACTGTAATTAAATGAAGTATAAAATGTTCTACATAAAAAAAAAATGACCCTTTCCTGCTTAAGCTCAGTTAGTAAAATTTAGATAGGGCGAGGAAGCTTTCCAACACATGATCTGACATTTTCTAGGTTGAAACCAAAAGAAGAGAACTCCATTCAGTTTCCCAGGAGCATGCAGAGCATTTGTTTAACACTTCTCCCAACTACTATACCACAGTTCTGACTTTGTCCTCTGAAGCTACTGTTGGTACTAACAGCACAAGAGTTTGCTGGAGGATTTTGGGTGTTGTCACCCAGAAAACTAACTTTTACAAACTCTGAAGAAAACTGCAGATGAACTGCATGCACACAATTAATCCGGGCACCACATGCAGTCTGGAGAAGGAGTTACGGTAATTTGCCCATTTTAAAAAACAGAGGTAATAACTGTGGGGAAGGGGGAGATGAGAAAGAAGAAGGGCCATGATTGTGGCAGTGGGATGAGGGAGATTACCGTTAATCCTGTAATCCCAATGTCATAAACTCCTTAAACTTCAATTTGTGTCAGAACAGATAATTATCGCTGTCAATAGGAGCTCCTCCCCATCACATAACTGCTTGGAAAGAAGGTTTTCTACCACAGCTCAAACAGTGAGATAAAGGGTTAGTTTCCTTCTTATTATATTTCTGATTGTCCTTGGGAGGTCTTGCAGTAGTAGTCAGTTACATTTTCTAAAGGTTGTGTGCAGTCACCGCTGACATAGTGAACATCATGTGTAGTTTGGTCCTAACTTATTCTCATTGCTACATGTTCTGCCTGCACATTTTAAACAAAGAGGCTATTACAAAGCTACATTATGTCTCCACACGACTCTTCTCACCCTATTGTATAAATGGAAAATACCCCAGTAAAAAGCTGCCACATGAATCACTTCATAAAGGAGGAAATAAGAAAAATAAAAATTAAAAACTGAATACCAAACAGGAATTTTAAGTCATTACATACTAGATGTGAAATGCCACAATAGCTCACACAATACACAACTTGAATCTACCAATCACCAGTGTCTCTTTATCTTAGAGCCACAGATGAATGACTTGCCATGCAGTCTCTGTAGCCTTTCTCTTAGGACTGAAGATGTGGACTTGTTGCAAAACAGCCCACATTAAAATATAGTAGTTATGTCTTTAAGGCGCTCCAACATCACTGTCATCAATACGTTATCACAGACTAACACAACTAGCTCTTTGACAAGAATAATAGTGATGTACTAGCTATTTTCCAAATTGAGACAGAAGATGAATATAAACAAAAAGCTACCAACCAGCTTTTGCTGCTCTTCCTGATGCTTCTTCAGATTTTCCATCATCTGCTGGAACTCCGCTTCCTTCTCCTGCTCTTCCAGCAAGGTTGCATCATTCTGCTCAGCATAGGCCATTGCTACCACAGCAAGGATCAAATTGATGAGGTAGAAGGAGCCCAAGAATATGATTAGAACAAAGAAAATCATGTATGTTTTCCCAGCTGCTCGCAGGGTCTGTGGGCAAAAGAAGAGTCTCTTGTCACAGTGTTGACCTGCCAGCTCAAGTAACTGTAGCCGGGTTCAGAGGGAAATACTCTGAAAAAGTTCATGAGCATTTTTGTGTGCCTATACTTGACATCCCTTAGCATCTGAAAATAGAGCATGGGCATTGAGGACCAACCTGGACAGGATGGGGTGATAGTTACGTACTGCAGGAAACAGTGGCTACATGTCTGATGTAGCAGGGCTATAATTTACATTTACATTTCTTTACATTTTTGTAAAAAACAGTCAGTGGTCAGACATACTGACACAGGAAAAACAATAACAAAGAGTCCAGGAAATGTAAAAGATTAACAAGTAATATCTGGCATAAGCATTTGCGTATTGCAACACAATTCGTCAATATGTATTTCTGCTTACTTGTTTCAGTGGTGCCTCGCTTAATGATTACCTCATTAAATGACAAATCCACTTGACGATGAGGTTTTTGCGATTGCTTTTGCAATCGCAAAATGATGTTTTAAGGGGAAAAATTCACTTAACGATGATCGTTTCCCTGCTTCAGGAACCAATTCTTTGCTTAACAATGTTTTTAAAACAGCTGATCGGCGGCTCTCAAAATGGCAGCCCGCTGTGCAAAATGGCTCCCCGCTGTTTTTAGGATGGATTTTTCGCTTTACAGGCACCGGAAAATGGCTGCCCCTATGGAGGATCTTCGCTGCACAATGAGGTATTTAGCCTATTGGAACACATTGAACCGGTTTTCAATACATTTCAATAGGCTTTTTTATTTTGCTTGACGAGGATTTCGCTCTACAGCTATTTCACTGGAACGGATTATCCTCATCAAGCGAGGCACCACTGTATTTGAAAGGATGATGCATGAACAAAGACAGTATATTGTCATATTTTTATTTCAACGGCTTCTCAGCTAAGGAATTCCTGCACAAGATTTTAATGCTTTTAAGGTTCAGGTGGCCATGCCTTGTAGGTTCCTCCTAAATTCAAATCTTGCAACCTTGAACACATCTAAAACTCTCCAAAAACTTCAGATGGGAAGGAAATATCAGTATGGCAGACTGTAGCCAAGGTGACTTTCAAGAAAGTGTTCTGCTGTTACTCATCTTCTAATTGAGGAACTCCTCATGCATTCCTATGGAATTCCAAGATTCTTCAAATATATGGCTAAAATATACTATTTTTCTGGAGCAACAAAGTTGCTCCAGAAAATTCAAAGTGCTTGTTTTGACATATAAAGCCCTAAACGGCTTGGGCCCTGGATACCTGAAGGACCGCCTCCTTCCATATGAGCCTACCTGGCAGTTAAGATCTAGCCAGAGGGCCCTTTTGAAAGAGCCGTCCCTCAAGGAGGTTAGAGGGACGGCTTGTAGACAAAGGGCCTTTTCGGCAGCTGCCCCCAGACTATGGAATGCCCTCCCGACTGAGATTCGTCTGGCCCCGACACTGATGACATTTCGGCGCCAGGTCAAAACCTTCCTGTTCCAGAAGGCTTTTAACTGAAATAATATTAGCTGTGGGTCCGATGGCAATTTTATATATATTTTAATTGTATTTTAATTGCTACATAACTTTATTTTATTTTAAATGCTGTAAGCCGCCCAGAGACCTTTGGGTAGTGTGGGCAGCATATAAATTAAATAAATAAATAAATATAAATAAATAAATAAATAAATGTGGCCTACCAATTGGAAGAGATTCTCCCAGTAGTCTTGAGTCATGAGGCGGAATAGTGCAAGGAAGGCCCAGCTGAAGGTGTCATAACTTGTATAGCCATAGTTTGGGTTTCGGCCAGCTTTCATGCAGAGAAACCCTTCTGGGCATTGCCTACAATGGGTAGTACAAGAAGGAAAAAAGGGTGTTAGCATGACTTCACAGGACATGTGATGGTAAGAGACGCAGCTACTTCCCTAATTCAACAAAGAAACCAAACTCCTCCCCAAAGAAATCTCCACTCCTCTCCTGCCCCAAGATATACATGTCAATCATCATTACAGGTTGTGGCCAGTCATTCAACACATTGGCTGCAATCCTCTTGGTTACCTGATTGCATAAGAGCAGTTATACTAGTGGTGGGAGACATTTTGCTGGCTTTATGTCACAAGCCCTGTCGTCTTTTAGTTTGCAAGTGATTATGTGACCAGACACCCAACAGCTGTCAAAACATGAAAACTGCTTGTGTGTTTGCCTTTACGCATTCAGTTTTCCACGGTAGGGTTTTTGGTGATGCAGTTTTCCCTGTGCAGAATTCAAGTTTCAGTTATTGTAGATTAGACTTGGATTCTATCCTTATTGTTTCCCTTCCTCCAAAAGGAGGCCAAGAGAAAGATTCCCACTCGACTCACCCCAACTTTCTTCCTTGACATGTACATAGTTTTTGAGCTGATGTAAAACAGAAGAGTGATTAGACAAAAAAAACTTCCCTTATGATCCCACACACACTCTTTGCAGGCAAGACAGACCTCACTCACCCAGCATCAGAGCTGTTCCCACAGAGTAGAGCATCAAGTGCACCATCAAGGAAATAGAAATTCTCTTCAGAAGAACAGAAGTGGGGAGGGTGAGAGAGAAAAGGATTGAGATTTTCCAGATTTGGTACCTTAGAACAATTGTAACCTGCAACCTGGATGTGAAATAGGAGCTTGGTGGTCATAGTCTGAGCTATACGAAGTTAAAGTTAAGAGCAGGCACCATGAGCAAAAGACTGCCAAATTGGACCAAACCTATGATAACTAGCAGAGAGGAATGTATTGTTTTTCCCCCACACTATTTTTATGGCTTTATTTGTCCCTTTAAGCTACAGTTTATTCATGGGGTAAAATATACTGGTGCAATATTGCTTACTTCTGGCACGCCCCACTAATAGGAATGCTCCTTAGATGGGGACCTAGAACCCCCAGCAGCTAATGAACTACAAGAGTTGTTGGAACCCAGGGTAAAAAAAAATAGCTGAAGTTGAAGTCCTCAGAAGAGAGGGCTGAGGATCCTTCTATCTGGATGACAGAAACTCTGAAGCAGAATCAAAGGCACAGCTCCCCCAGCCCTAAGAAGTGTGTGCATCTAAGTGTTAGTATCTTCTTATAGTGAAATTGCTTCAGAGAGAACTGGGCTTCAGCAATTAGACTTCCTAGCACAGCTCGTGTTTACTTTTTAATGACAAATCACAAGATATAAATGAAAGATGCAAAGGTGAGGAAAACCATGTGCTGTGACAGACAGATAACATTTAGCATTTGAAGGAGCACCTTTCCTTTTTACAATGGTAACGTTATAATCTAGTTTGACTTTAAGAGAGCGGTTATTGAGAATATAAGTGGTGTAGCGAGTATTGGTGTTTTCCTTCCTTCAGAGTAAAGAGATTGAGATTAAAACTTATGTTTTTCCACAAATGGCATGGGAAAGCTTTGGGTAAATTAACATCTCTCAGCTTAACATCTCAAGGGTTGTCATATGGATAAAGAAGAATACCTGCCTTGCATGGCAATCTGAGCTCTTTGAAGGAAATAAATATATGCAATAGGTAAGTTAGAATCAAACTAAGAGTGAGGGGTGTAGAGGGAAACAGAAATAGAGGAGAAGGAGGAGGAACGTCACAAGAACATTCAAAAGATCCCTACCTTCATTGTTGATGTATTCATCCCAGTCAAAGGGTTCGCTGGTGTTCAGCATGGCATTACCATACAGAGTGGTGTTACCATACACAGTGGTATTACCATACAGATCCCCAAAGGGATCACTGTCCAACCCAAAACCATCTTCTTGAAATGTGTCATTGCTGAAGGGTGGCCACTTGACACACTTTTGGCGCAGGTTACCCATAAACAGCTGCAGTCCGATAAGAGCAAAGACAGCCAAGCAGAAAACTGTGAGGATCATGACATCAGAGAGCTTCTTCACGGACTGGATCAAGGCACCCACAATAGTTTTCAGCCCTGTTGGAAGTCAGAGAAATCAATAAGCACCACTCTTTATTATGGGCAACAAATGTTCTGGCAAGTTTTTATTTTGTTTTTATAGCCTGTAGGCATTCTTTTAATTCAGAGGTGTCAAACTCAATTTCATATTGGGCCACATCAGCATTATGCTTCCCCTCAAAGTGTATCTGTAAGACTATATAAATCTATCTACTCTTTATCATATTAAATATAATCCTCCTAATTTGATTTTTACTGGTCATAATAATAATAATGTAAGTAATAACTAGCTCTGAAAGTAAAAGTCTATGATCAAAGTCTAGAAATAATGGCAATCAGATATTCAAGTGTACAACTGTTGTACAGTTTATTGAAAAGTGAGTTTTAGTAACACCTGCTGACACCCGCTCCACAGCCCCAGCCATGTTTGTTTGTTTTGTTAATTATTCACAAAAGTCTCTCGCCTTTCTCTTGCGCTTGCCACGGCCCTTGGCCTTCATTATCACCTGGCTCCTCACTCACTTCCGTAGCTGATGTGGGAAAGAAGGCAGAGATGGCCACTACTAGACGACACCATCAAACAGCCCTCACCAGGAACTGTAAGAACAGGAGTGGGCAATAGCAAGGACTACATTTCCCAAGGTGCTATATGCCACCCAAGCGGCAGCACTTTCTGATTCTTCACTGCTTGGAATGCTGGGATTAGAAGTCCCAGCATCCTTGCGGAGCATTGTGGGTGACCAAGTAAGTGCCTGCGTATAGGATACTGCACAGTAGCAGGCAACACTGTGAGAGCCACATGAAATGGCGCAGCGGGCTGGATTTGCCCCATGTGCCAGATTTGGCCCACGGGCCCTGAGTTTGACACATACGTTTTAATTGAATTGAATAAAAATTGGAAGGCCAGTGCATAAGACCTGACAGCAGACTGGCTTCTATGCTTTAATTTAATGTTAATTTTAATCATTCTAGCTTGCCTTTTTCAGTGCTAAAGGTGGTATGTCACAATTATGACATTGTATAAGTATGAAACATGGGGAAAACTCTCTTTCAATATTTTCTCCACTTTTACATGAAATTATAGACTGGATGTACTTTCTCTACATGCAATGTAGGGCTAGATGAATCTGTCAATTTTCTACATTTCTACATTTTATTAAAATCTCATGTTCTTACCCCACTAGTATGGAGAAAATGTTAAATTGTATCAAAAACAAAACAAATTACATTCTCAAGTATCAACAATGCACAAACAGTAGGTAGTATTAATCTCAATTAAAGGTGAAGAGTCTATTCGGGGAAAAAGAGGTAGCAACTCTAATTCAGCAACTGGTATTCAATACCACATATGAAGGATTAAACATTCAAAGTTCTTTGGCTGGACAACTGAATCTTTCAATGTTGCAAATTATTATTTTTTTAAAAGCACACAACAAAAATCTCATATTATTTCTATTCAATTCAAATAAATTTATGAAATTTGGAAAGTTCTTATAAAAATGATCCAACTACATTTTTACCCTCTCCCTAATGCTGCACTGTAACACTTCAAATACTGATCTTACCATATGTTTTGTGCTTACTGTTGGGAGTTGTTTCCCTTCAGTACTACAGAACTCATTATTTGAAAAAAAAAACCAACTGCCATTTTTACAACTCATGGTTGTACTGCAGATCAAAAATTTTAAAGCACCTGAAAAAGGAGCATGGTTGAAATGTATTCATTTATTATTTCAAGGTTCGCATAGCAACCTGTTCTGAGTTGTATGAAAAAGCAACCCTGGAAGGATTTCTCTACCTCCAAGAGTACCACCATCACCCACACACGCACACAACACAAGATTACTACCATCCCCACTACCCACCTGGAATCACTGTAATGGTTTTCAGTGCTCGGAGGACACGAAAGGTTCGTAGAGCAGAGACATTACCCAAATCTACGAATTCTGTAAGATAACTAGAAAACAGAGCAAAAGTGCTGTAACTCAGAGAGCTAGAGTTACTTTATGAAAGTAGAAACAGCTCTTATCAAGATACAGCAGAAGGATATAACTCCTGGGATGTGAAAATATAACATATAGATTATCTCGAGAGATAGGGATGTGGAAATATAACTTATAATATATAAGTTATATTAAGCTATTAGTTAAATTATATAAGTTAAAATATAAATATATAATTTAGAGGTGGTGGCAGCAGATTTGTGTGTTTGAACCAGGATCTGTTCTAAGCAAGCAGAAAGAGGTGGATGGGGTTTGATGGTAAAGGGTCCATTTGATTCAGCTGGAACAGTGGACTAAAGGATTTGTAAAGAGAATTCTCCTCAGAGGGGAACCTAAAACCCCTAGCAGCTAATGAACTATTGGAGTTGTTGGAATCCAGGGTAGAGAAATGGCTGAAGTGGAAATCCTGAGAATGCTAATTATTACCATATCAGTGGCATGATAATAAGCTCTAATTTGGCCATCCGTCAATTCTGCATCAATCCAAAAACTGAAACCAACCATATATACAGCTCTTTTTACATAGGTTATGCCAGGCAAGCCTGATTAAAGCTGTGCTATGGTCAGTAGCTGTGAATCAAGACATATTCTAAGGCTGTAGGTAAAGAGTTGCCAGATCATTGCATGACCAAAGATCTGTAGCTTACAGTAATCCAGAAGCTTGCTTTGTGCCCAATGGCTGTAACACCACACTTTAGTTCTAACTAGAGTGTTCAAGGAAAGGCACAATTAAAAAAATAAAAATAATTTTTAAAACTCAAAAAGCAAAACAGCCAATTAATATGCTAAAACCAAGGATCACAGCCTATTGAAGAATGCCATTATTAAAAGCTTGGCTGAAGAAGGTTGTTTTATCCTGTCATTTAAAAAGAAATAGTGCTCTTGTGTATGATTTTTTTGTAGAAAAGTAAGATATAAATATTGTAATAAAATAAATAAGTTTTGGGAACAATACTGGATAGGGAGTATGATTGCAATTTTTCTCTCCATCAAGTAGAAAGCAGTGTATGTGGTATTCATCCACTGCCCTTCGTTGACTCAAGCTAAATTCTTATAATAGTGTTTTCTAAAGCATTCCTGCTGAAGGCAACATACGCCATAACGATGACACTGAAATCCAACCAATTCCATGGATCTCGAAGGAATGTAAAGTCATCAATGCAGAATCCCCGGGCAAGTATCTTGATCATAGATTCAAAGGTGTAAATGCCAGTAAAGGTGTATCTGTGAACAACAAAAGTCACGTGATAAAAAAAAGGATTAATTTCAAAATAATTGAAGATTTGTTCTAAATTGTTTCTTCAAGTTATACACCAAGAGTGCATATTTTATAGCTTTTTTCTAAGAGCTTCTTAAATAAACAGCACCCCCAAAATACCAATGATTTGTAGCAAAACATATAAATTCTTATTTCTACAAAGAAATATAGGTATGCAAGAGAATTAGTTTTCCTTTTATTTCCCAAATGAATTTCCATTTAAAAGTCAGAGTTCTCACTGAGATGCTTTTAAGAGGGAGGTACTGAGAGAATGAAATAGGGACGTGGTAGCACTATGGGTTAAACGGCAGAAGCCTCTGTGCTGCAAGGACAGAAACCCACCAGTCATAAGATCGAATCCACGCAACAGAGTGAGCTTCAGACCATTTTTGTGCTCTCCTCTTGCACCCTCATTAAGAGGTTCATAGTTCCTCCTCACTTTCTGCCAACAGAGTGGTATCATCTGCATATCAGAGGTTGTTGATATTTCTTCCAGCAATCTTAATTCCGGTTTGGGGTTCATCCAGTTCAGTCTTTTGGATGATGCATTCTGCATATAAGTTAAATAAGCAGGAAGACAATATACAGCTTTGTCATACTCATTTCCCAATTTTGAACCAACTAGAGCAGTTGTTCCATATCCAGTTCTAACTGTTGCTTCCTGTCCCACGTATAGGTTTCTCAGGAGGTAGATAAGGTGGTCAGGCACTCCCATTTCTTTAAGAACTTCCCATAGTCAAAGTCAATGAAGCAGAAGTAGATGTTTTTCTGGAACTCACTGGCTTTCTCCATAATCCAACACTTGTTAGCAATTTGGTCTCTAGTTCCTCTGCCCCCTCAAAATCCAGCTTGTACTTCTGGGAGTTCTCGGTCCACATACTGCTGAAGCCTACCTTGTAGGATTTTGAGCATAATCTTGCTAGCGTGTGAAATGAGTGCAATTTTAGGGTAGTTGGAGCATTCTTTGGCACTGCTGTTCTTTGGATTGGGATGTAGACTGATATTTTTCAATCCTCTGGCCACTGCTGAGTTTTCCAAACTGTCTGATATATTGAGT